GAATTTTTGTCCTATCCTCAAACCTGAATATGTGAAAATTAACACTGAAAAGTAAAAGGAAGAAAAAAGTATATTTCTATCTAAAAATGTTTCTTCTATTATTACATTAATAATAATAATATCAGATTGATTTAAATAAAATTAAAAGCAGTCGCATTACAATTATTTTGAATGCTATTCTATGAGCTAGAAATTTTACTACAAATTTTAAATTACTACTAATTTAAAGGAAAGGAGATTCATTATCATTAATGTACACTATGTTAAATGGCATGAGTATGGCGAAATGCAGGAAATTAAACAAAAAGGGGCATATTTTCGTTTAGTAATACTGCCAGAAATCAGATATTCAATATCTATCTAAAAAGTAATATTTTACCGCATAAAAAACTCCGTGATAGGCCAAGAATTGTTCAAGCAAAAGTCATTAATATCGTATTCAATTTTGGATTTGCATTTGACTGTAGATGCATCCCAGACTAGCCAAATTAGTTTCACAAGCACAGGTGAATTAAAAAGAATGCATAAAAAATTTAATCATTTCTTTTGTGCCTCTTTACCAGTAAACTAAGGCTCCATCCATCACACTTCCTCTTAACTGCTGAGAATCTACCTTTTTCTGACTGCGCGCAGCCTATAGCAGCATTTTTGAAGTTACTTTTAGCTTAGCAGTTGTTGACAAACAGATAAAATGAAAATATATGTACTCACCCTCAAGCGATATTTTTTTTCATATGTGGTCACACTTACACAGCTTGCGCGGCAACAGACACAATTTTTTAACCCACCCAACGAAAGAATAAACAACAAACTACGTCGACCAGCAATCAGCGCTCTAAATATTTCACGAAGGATAAAATCGGAAATACCTGCAGTAACAAATACAATACGATGATTCACATTCCGAATCTGGATCCTCCATCAACCACAAGTGTTCCTAAATCGGTGCAACACCGCTGAAATAGCGTGCAGGCGTTAACGACCTCGACCTGTACAGAATCCGGACACAGATTCTTTGAAACGGATCTCTTCTAGAGCTAAACGGTAGGGACTTGATGCTTATCACGACATCGCTGAAGCATAGATGCAACCTAATTAAAGTAACGGGCTAGGTGAAAGGAGAAAAGTTCTTCTCACTACAGACAAGCTATCCTTTCCTTTACAAAAGACGAACTGTTTTCCGGTATTTCAAAATATACATCGCTAATGACGATGGCAAAAATGCAACGCGTTGTTAAATGAATCATCTTTGCTAGTTCACAAAAGTTCGTTGCATTATTATTACGTTATGATTACATAATAAGCTGAAAGAACTATTGTAAAATTTCCAGCATAATAAAAACTACTTCAAACGATGTGATACCACAAAAATGTGAAGGTCTTATAAGTCTTTTCAAAACAGCAGTATATTAAAAAATACTTCGAAACCGTTCGCGACTCACTTTCAGGCCCACTCACATCCGAGTTCCATTAAATCAGGTGTTTGATTGCTGGACAATTTCTCCTTCATCTTGTTAATAATTCTAACGGAAGAATTAGTGCGCTTTTTTAAAGGAACGGAGGGATTTCGTAAATACGAGTCCAGCTCACACGACCTTAGATAACCGCATAAAATAGACGAAATTTTCACTTTTTATTGGGATTTAGAGCATCCAGCGTCTCGGCTGACCTTTCAGCATTGACATCCGGTTGCATGAAAAATCGGAAGCTAAAGATAACGTTCAAGCTTCTAGACAGGAAGAATACATGATGAAGAGCAACCAAAAGAATTTAGTATGGGCACCTGCCGGTTTTCTCTACTGCGTAGGGAAAAATATATATTAACATATATATGTAATTAATTTCTAAAGGCCGAAATTAACAATTTAAATGAAATCGAAATACTGCTACATGAACTTCTTATCACTAATTATTAGACTACATGTTAAATGACAGCATTTCAGATTTTTTTTCCAAATTAAAACGAAAAGCGGAAATAAATGGCCGTGATTGTTAGAATGCTTCCAGGAAGCCAGTCATTAAAAATGTACGTATTTCCTTACTAAGTAATTTTTGCTTAAGAATTTCTCATCGACCGAGAATCGAATCTACGATCTCTCTGTCCATAGATAAGCGAGATTATCATTAATGCGCAAGATGTTAATTATTTTTTGCTGCGTTAATAAACTGCTCATTTTCTACTAAAGGTGGAAGATATCCCGGCCATAAACCTACCTGCTCCTCTATGAGTTACAGTTAAGCTGCACTGTAAAGAATTTTAATCTGACGTCACTTTGGTTGCATAATGTAGAAGCAAGCTTGTCTATAAAAACTGCAGACGCTCTTGTTGATATGTCTAAATTTAATTTTAGTTTAAACAAATACTTACATCATAAACTATAAAATGAATTTTTCAAATTTTGTAATAAAAAATTAATAGGTTAGGTTAGGTTATTTAATTACGGCGAAGCCTCGAGGGCTATCTGCCTAAGGGGAGGCATGTCTTCGTGGAGGACTTTCTAAGGGAAATTGGCTCGTATACACGTTACACATGGGGAAAACCACGAAAACACCCATGCAGACAGCCCGTTCGCGGGGTTCGAACCTTGGACTGAACTACCAGTGTTCAGCGACTTTACCGCTCGGCCGCTGGTGGGCCTAAAAAATTAATAATACTGCACTTAGATCAAAATGTATACTGTAGTGTACCGAATTCAAAATTTTAATTACAGCACTTCGCATCCCCCAAACGTAACACAAATGTTGCTTAGGACTTTTTCAATGCAGAATACAGGTTTAAATGTTTCCATAAGCCGTCTCAATGGAGACTGGGAGTGATAGACAATGTAACAGAAAAACTTTATGATTTTCGAAAATATCAGTAACAAGCAATGCAATAGCTAAAATCTTTTTAATATTTTTTAACTAATTATGAAATGCACTTCAAAGATAAGTTTATCAAAAAAAAAGGGGGGGAGGGATTTCACAGCTTACAAATCATTTAGTTTCTAAATGTAAAGAGAAACTAACTAAAGTACCTTAGTAAAAAAAATTCGCATTTACATTAGCTTCATTAATCTGCTGCGCAGTAGACTGTACTTCCTTGCCAGAATTAAGCATCGGCTAACATAGTCATTTTCGAGAAATAACTACAATAAACACATCATTAAAACCCGATGATTTAAGGGTGCGAACAAATACGTTTCACTGATGTCATTTGTCATTCAGGAAGCTCACAACCGTTACACAGGTTCAGCATTGCAAATAAGGCAGGATGAAGTTACACTTGCCCGAGTATAACTTACATGATTAACGGTTGGTATAACAAAAGTAATTTGATACTCTTTACACTGAATTTTTGTTAACTACCGCTGCAGGAGAAAAGTGCAAACTAACAAAAGAACAGGAGGACAAAAATTGGTCAAGTTCCGAAAATGTGAATCCAGATAATTGAATGACTGTACTACGATTCAGAACCATTAAACCGTGTTTTGCAGTGACAAGCCTCGTTTCGTAACATAACTGTCATATTTCCTCATCATTCTCGTTGTCAAAGATCTCATCTTAATTGGCCAAGCAACAAGAAGTCGTTGCTTTGCCTAAAATTAAAGCTGTTATCGAAACCGAAGAGTCGTTCGACAACAAATGGATGAAGCAATTTGGCAGGTCATTGTTCTGACCTTCCAGAAATCCAGTTACTTCCTCTACGCTGTTTTCTTTCAATCATATTTTATTGACTCGAATCCAAAGATAAAAGCAGCAAACGGGATCTTAAAAAGGGAGACCAGCGGTCATCGGTAAACGATTTTAACATTGCATGTCCCCTTCCCCGATACCGATAGTTTGACCACGATAACTCTCGATTTCGGTAAACATTCGGCCCAGATCGAGTTAATTTATCAGTTGAAAACAAACTTCAGCAGCGCGTTAGCCGTTTTTACTTCTACTGATAGACGATAGCGTGATCTGGTGGATTCTTATGATGAAGCTAGCTGCTTTTTTTTTTTTTTTTTTTTTTTTTTTTTTTTTTTTTTTTTTCCCTTCTGCATATGGGTAGGCAATAACATTTTTGATAAGATAGCAGTAATCGAAGTATTATCAAAACATTGATCGATTCCATGTGATGATTACAAAAATATTTAGCATGCAGCTAACATTAACCTTTAAAAAAATGTCAAATATTGCAAATCCATGATACGGAACTATTTCATTTTAACTGGAAAACAGTTGTCAGAGCAATACGAAACCTTGGATTGGGAAACAACGCGAAATAATTTGAAAATTTGATTTTAAGAAGCAATGCAAACAGCTCTCAATACATGATAGTCCACCAGCGGTCGAGCGGTAAAATCGTTAAACACTGGTAGTTCCGATTTTGGATTCGAATTTAGGCGAACGGGCTGACTGCAAGGGCGTTTTCGTGGTTTTCCTCATATGTAACTTGCATACGAGCCAGTTTCTTTAAAAAGTCATCCCTACCCCTAGGCAGATAGCCCTAGTGTGCTTTGCCATAATAAATTTAACCAATAAATAATGATACAATTTTTTTACTGATTGAAAAATTGTTTAATTTCGGATTATTCTAAAAATGATTATAATCGGATACTTCAGATGCACATGATTACTAACAAATTTCTGCATAGTTATATTATTACCAAACGCATATCTGAAATTAAAAAACATTTTAATACTAATCTCATATTGTGCTAGCTTTTTAAATGACTGTAATAAATCATTTCCGCAGATTGTTACTTTAAAGATGACTGATAACAGTTAAATGATATCTTTGAACCTTGTTTCTGAAATGCATGCACAGACCTGAACAGCTACCAAGTTTAACGGAAACTTAAAAATCAGAACTTAAGAAAGCTGTATGACCTCTATAACTTATTTAAATTACTTTGAGAAATACTACCAGAAAAGTCAGTGTTATAAAAAGCTATATTTCCTTCAAAACATGAATCGATTGTAATTAAAACCATACTGTACAAATGCATATTTAATTAAAAACAAATACTTACTGAAAACATCTTCAACAGTGTCATCATCAGATGAGTGCAAGGAAGATGCATCGCTGTCAATAAGCTGCCTTCTGCTTCTGCCATGTAGTTGGTCAAGTCTCCGGGAATGGCTTGGAGCCCGGTTAAGTCTTGCGGCATTGCTTGGAGAGAGTTCATGTCTTCTAGAATTGCTCGGAGCTCCTTCAGATCTCCTAGAGTTGCTTAAATCGTCCCGAAAAGCTTGCCTTATGTTATCTATGTTACTTAACAAAAAGGGTAGAGGTCCTCTTTGTGCTGCCCAAGCAGCAATAGAAGAAGGCCACGAAACAGGATGAGATCGAGCAATCAGACTCACTGTCCTCAGAACAGGACTATACGAGCCGAAATCGATTGGATCTGAACGGCTCGGTTGAAGACGGCTCGGTGAAGCAGCATAGTTTGAAGGCATTTCATTTTGAATTTGAACATTTGGGATCTGAATGGGCAAGCTGGACGGTCGGTTTGAGGAAGACAAATCGCTAGAAATGCTACTGTTATCACATTTGCTGAGATCGGTTGCAATGGCAGTGCTGGTTGCATTGTTTAGAGAGGAATCAGTTCCATAGCAGCCATAACAAAATGTAGAGTTGCAATCAGGACACATATCCCACTCATCATCAAGCTCAGCGTCCGATTCAGTCTCTGATTCTTCCAATAGAAAAACTGCAGGGCAATCTTCAAAATCATTCTCTTCTCCAGCTGCCTCCAAATGATGTCCGGAAGTAGAAGCTTGGACAATCTGGTTCGCTGTTTCATCAGACTGGATACCAAAGAAGTGTAAGCGATTGCTCCTGTTGTAACTAGAAGGAGATGCCTCATATCCGGAATCTTCTTGAGAACGTGAACTACTTGTGCTGGCGTTCGTTTGCCTTTCGGATGAAGTTGAACTTCGACTTACACCGTCATTGGAAGTTCTAAGAATTGTAGATTCTTCAGCAGGAGGAGTTGGAGGCTCGCCAGTGCTAGAATAGTTTTCTGTGTAATGGTGAAACATATTTAACTGTATTGATCCTAAAAAAAAAAAAGATAACATTATCAATGAAACCTTGAACGGAAAAAGGACTAATAATTATGCTCTAAAATACGAGGGCTATCCAGAAAGTAGATTACGTTTTGGAATAAAAAAATAAACAAAGTATAGGAAACAAATTTTATTATATACAGATGAAAGCCACACTCAAATACTACTTTTCTACATAGTCACCATACAATTAAGGCATTTATCGTAGCGATGTACGAGCTTGGAAATTCCTTCGTCGAAAAATTCGGCCGCCCTGCGCCTTCAACCACTTCGTTACCTCTTCTTGCCTTCCATCTTGCACAAAACTTCTGGTAACCAAGCTTTTCGCTGATGATTTCGTGCAACAAACTTCGCGAAATTTGTGGAAAACTCAAAGAAAGTTCCGTTATTGTGAAATTTCGATTTTCACGGACTTTAGCATCGACTTTTTTCGAGAAGTTCGGCGGTCACTATGCTGGGTCTCCCACTTCGATCTTCGTCGTGAACATTGGGTTCGGCCATTTTGAAATCTTATGACCCACTGACGCACTCCACCTTCAGTGATAATTTGTCCCCATACACTTCACGAAGCTGCCGATAGATTTCTATCGGTTTACAGTTTTTTGCAGTCAGAAACCTTATTACTGAGCGCACCTCGCGGGATTTTCAATTAACGCAGACATTTCAAACCGTCACAGTATCTGAACGGAGCACAGCACGAACCTCTCACTAGCACGGCTAGATGCAGACTGAGCTGCGCAACGCTCTGACCCCAAGATGGCCGCGCTAGCCCCGCCCCTAGCGGACACAGACGGAAACGTAATCTACTTCCTGGATGGCCCTCGTACTAACTCAAATCAATAACTGAAATTAAAACTAGTAAGATACACATATCCTCCGAAATATCAAAAAAATTAACCCAGAAAGATTTATTTTACGGTAACTGCTAATTGCTTTTAGTACCAGATTTTTTTCTCAGAAGTATTTTAAAGCATTTTATTGTGAAAGTGAATGTATCCACGTGCAAATCTTTCGATAAGCAATGATAGCAGCAGCATAAGAAAAGGGCGGAAAATCGGTATCCGGTATCTCAAATATTCATTAATGAGATTCAAACCGCTGCATTTAAAAATACGTTACAAATATATTTAGTCTAATAGATGTAGAAATTTTCATAACTCACTCATTTTCGGGAAAACCAGGATTAAAGCGCAAATAAACAAAATAATGATTTAAAAAAGCGTTGAAAGATTAAATGAATTGCCAAACATATTACCGTTTTCTAAAATAGCGCAAGTATCGAGAAGAAAGACGTTGAACGAACCGTATTCGACGAAATATAAGCGTATTTTTACCGGTAGAAATATATAATTCCGTCATTAAGAATGCTTTTCTGAGAATTATACCCATCTTATATGCGAAATCTAATATTTAAAAATATATTAAGATTATTTTTTACAGGAAGGCAACATTAACTTAATTTTACCTCAAAATATGGTATTAATGACTATTCCACCTGTATTTAATTAATTTACATCCCAGCCAATACCATACATTAGTAATAAGCAGCGTAGCAATTTAATTCGCCAGACGGGAAGGCAAAAATTTTGAGTTGAGATTAAGCAGCAAAAATCGGCGCTCTAGCAATTACATTTTCGCGAAAAATTTCGCGGCCCAAGATTTATATTAATGTTTCGGAGCAAGTGGATATCAGAACCGAAAGAGTAATAGAAATCACTAGTAACTAAATACAAACTGAAAAACATCGTAATTTAAGATCAGCATAGTTTGTCAGCCTTGAAATATGGAAAACCGAGAATTTGTGAGTTTCCGGGAGACTTGTGCTTCACAGCGGCGTAACTCAAAAGAACTCCACACTGATTTAAATTCTCTTATGATTTAGGTTATTCAAAGGCGCTAATTTTAAACTTGTTAGTTAATTCGTTAATTTTTGTAAAATACATTTTTGCCTACCTTATTAATTTCTTAATATTAAATTACATATTTTTAAATTTATGCTCATTGGTTAGTTTCAATTTGTAATTTTTTGACTCTTTTAAACTGGAATCCTGATCAAAGAAGAAAAGATTTACTTCATCAAAATAATTAGCATACATACTACCATGTGAACAACTTTAGTAATGTTTCGTATGTTAACATAAAACAAAATTTAATACAAATATTAGCGGACTAAACAGTAGTTGAATCTTCCTGTGAAGTTCTACAAATTTTGAGAGATTACAAGAGATTAAGACAAGGGTATAATCAAATAAAATTTAATCCTTTGTACTCGAGGCCTTTTCTGCTCCGACGAACCAGCAACTCGGGGGGATTTTCCGCATATTAATGGTTGTCTTACAGTTAACTAAAAATGATTTCACGGAAATGTAACGGTTTTTTTTTATACCTGAAGATACTTTCGGTCCTGCGGCTCTTTCGTCGTTATTTTTTGCGATATTTTTTGGATTTTGTGCATGTTATTTATTCTGAATCTGTCTCTTCTGCAGAATCACTGCAGCTTTTCCCATTCCTTACCTATTACCCTGGTTTTCGCTATGTATTACCTTGACTTTCGCCTTCTTACACCTCTTATTTCATCGCTATCTGCATCACTGCATTCCTCCTCTCTATCGTGAAGTAGCCTATGCATATGTAACTTCGTTCATCATCAACGAAAAATAGAACTCATCATCACTTGAACCGATTCTTTCATCGCATTCCATGCTTACTGATGAGCTCCGTGGCTTCGAAAATAATATTCCTGTTGTCTTCATTAAATAGCGCATTTTTAGAAAACGATATTTTAGAATAAAAATTGTTTGTCTACACTGGCAGGGAAGAAGAGGACGATTTTATGTTAACTTTGAGAAAGGAATTTCTCTCGTATTCTAGAAGTTTAGCAAAATTTGGGGTAATTCAATTTTCTAGTTTGGATTTCCGAATAGCATTACTTTTCGGTAAGCTTTTGAGAAAATTCAATCAATAAATAAAAGATAGCTCCAAAAATTATTTAAATCTAATGAAAATCTATTAGCATAGATTTTAAGAATAGAAAAATTTCAATATTAATAAAAACAGACATTTCTCTAAAATTCCGGAATATAATCATAAATTCAATCCGCGATCAAGTCTAACTTTAGTAATGAAATGAGACGTCACGTAAGTTATTCGTTAAGCGTGTTTTTTTCAAACTAAATGAAATCTTAAATCATGTGTGCGACAGTTACTGTCAAAGCTTTGAAGTAAAGGCATGATTCAAAATAAAATTGAGAATAAGAAGAATAACTTGAAATCTGAAGCAAAACTGTGACGATTAAAAAATAAACAGCCGCTTCCGAGACAAGCCATAAAAATGAACTGGTTTTGAAGAAGAAAAAATTAGAATTTCCCTTCGCTTTCGATTTATATTTGGGTCAACGCAAGTGCCACTGACCTTGGGAGAGACAACATAAATTACTCACGCTGGCTGATGTGTTGATAAACAAATCCTGTGATGAAAACGACTAGTTTGCATAGGCAAAAAAAGTAAGGCAGTTGGCATAGGTTGAAAGCGGTCAGCAAACCGCAATTAATCCGATAGATTCAAAATATGCATATAAACTTTCCTAAAGAATAATTTTTATATCAAAGATAAATATTAACAAAATGCAAAGGAAGCGTTTTTCCTCATAAGATTTCATTGAAATGTGCTGAAGTAAAAAAGATTTTTGCAGCATTTTTTTAATGAAGGACTTAAAAAAGAAATTGAAAATCATTAATATGATGAATTAAAATTCGCAAAGATAAATTTAAATGAATTAAATGTGGTCTTTTTATATATACGTCGTTTATACTATCGAGTTTACAATTCTGCAAAATTGTTTTATTGTCCCATTACAAATGCTTTTGAAAGTGCCTCACCGTATTACTTTTAGTAACAGATGATTTTTCTTTTACTAACTGTTGTGATAGCTTAGTTTTTTTTTTTTTTTTTTGGGGGGGGGGAGACAAAAGGGACGTAGGTCGTGACTATGAACTATTTATTTCTACGGGGGCCTGGGACGGAGGCACTAGCACCATCTACGCGCTGGTTTTTTTTTTTTTTCTAACGTTGAAAAAGAATGTTAGCCCCGAATGGGATATTAGTCTTCAAAGCGAATTTTGCGTTGTATCACTGTTTCTCGCATTGTTAAATAACAACGATATCTACGGCCATCCATCCCATTTTGAATAACGTTGTCCTCCACCCGAACATGGGCCCCTGGAAGCCAGAACTTTGAATTCGAATTTGTTTTACTATCTATTTTATATTTTGCAAAACTTGAACGAATTTTTGATTAACAGACTCGACGATTTCAAAACGAGCAATGGCAACACTGTACGGGAATAAACAATTTTATCTTGAACGCGCAAGACTTTCTATTAGAAATTCTAAAGATATGCTCTTTTTAAATATTTTGTGATTTTGCTGTTAAATTTTTTATGTGGCGCAAGCGCGAAGAACGTCATATTGAATAAATAAAGTAAGCACACAAAACGTTAATAATGAAAGGAAAAAAAAAAGTTTTGTAAAGCCATCCGAGTCAGAAAATTGGGCATTGATTGATATGATAAACTGAGAAAAGACTGCGTTGCATCTGGAATTCTAAGCGTATACTGCTATGCTGCATTTAAAAGTTTTGTAATTTTGCTGTTGAACTGTACATTGCATAAGTGCGACGAAAATAAAGCTAAAAAGACAAAAAAGGGGCGGCGAGTGTTAGTATAATTGAGTAACAGCAAACTGGTACACTGCGGGCTTAGGGAGAGCATTGAAAACCTTAACAAATCCTTTTGGTGACCGTTAAAATCTGAAACCTTTCATATTTTTTTTCTTTTCATGCATTATACTAAAGAACAGTGTGTACTTACGTATTACCCTTTCATTCAATGCCGGAAATTTCGGCAGCGGTCGCTGATTGTTACTGCAGAATTCTAAAGAAGTGAGTCCGTCAGAATGCTTACATAATCACCCCCTTTTTTAATGCAGCGA